GATCGGGAAAGTCAAAACGACGGAGCGAAAAACCCTCTCTTTCCCATTTAATGCAGATGAGACGCGCCCTGACCGATGAGACGTGCCCTGCCCGACAGAACGGCTCCTGATCAGACAAGATGTGGCCTGGGTATGACCCACCACTACCGCACGCCAGCCACTATCGCACACCGGGCACAAGAACCAAAGCGCCACCGCACACAGGCGGCTCTCCGCATCCCCAGGCAGGACTTAGAAAAAATCCAAAACAAGATCTCTGCCAGAAAAGACCATTGGGCTTCTTAAGTCGATTGAACAGCTTAGAAAGACACACCGAGGGATAGGTAAGGAGCAAAGGGATGCCCCATGTAGGCCATGCCGACTCCGTCACGAACAACAAGCACAGGTCCCGGTCGGACATTTTCGACTGGAGCTCTTCAAACCCCGTCACTCGAGTCATCAAGGTAACACTACCGACCCCCTCTATTTCTTTATAAATCATTTCATACATCCATATGTGCATTCATTCCATACGCCCATGCCCCCCGGATGATTCAGGCCCTGAGCCACCCGGGGGCTCAGGAACTAAGCATCGCACGTGCAGCGAAATGCATCACAATGCAACATGTTGCGTCACGAAGTGGCAGTTGCCTCATTCGACATGAGCAATGACAGAGCCAGGGGAGAAAAACGTAGATGAGCCCCATGTGGCCCTCACCCAGTCTGGCAGACAGGGTCATCTCAACCTTCTCGTTTGATCCTAAGCCTCTGCCAAGCCCACAGAATCTCCATCGAGGGGAGGCCATTAGGCCACCCGGGTCGGTCTCCGGAACGACCCAGACATCTACCGGGTTGCAGGTAAAGGAGCAGTGGAATATCACAAGAGGGCTATGCTGACCCCATCACGAACGATGGACCCGGATTCCACTCGATCATACCCGTTAGCGAACTCACCGAGCGTGTCACTCGAGCCCGAGCGATCGGGACAAGAGACAAAACTCAGCCCCTTCGGTTGTGAGGAACCGAGGACGGGGTAACGCACACAACTCAAACCGACCCCTACTAAAGCCCAACGGGGCTCGGAGGCCCAAGAAACAAAACACCTGGGTCTACGACCCCGAACTCGCCCCATCCGGCTACGCTTCGACTGCACTCCAAAACTACCTGGGTCTACGACCCCGAACTCGCCCCATCCGGCTATGCTTTGACTGTACTCCAAAACTACCTGGGTCTACGACCCCGAACTCGCCCCATCCTGCTACGCTTCAACTGCACACCAAAAATGCCTAGGTCTGCGACCCCGAACTCACCCCATCAGGATCCATGACTCTGACTCGCCCGATCCCACGGCGCGCACCGACACCAAGATCAGCGAGCTCCGTCTCAACCGATCCCTAAACTAACTAACTAACTAACTACCTCAGCTGCACAGACTGCACCGAGGCCAGGATCCACGACTCCGACTCGTCTGATCCCGTGGCGCGCACCGACGCTAGGACCCGTGAGCTCTGTCTCGTCCGATCCCTTGACTAAACTGCCTCGCCCGATCCCACAGCGCGCATCGACGCCAGGATCCGCGAGCTCCGTCTCACCCGATCCCTAAAAAACTAAACGCCACGGCTGCGCAACGATGCCTTGGTTGACAACTCCATCTCGACTAAAAAGCACGCCCGCCCGCCTGCTGACAAACACCCCCAGATGATTCTGCCCAAATCGCTTGGGGCTCGGGGGCTACACCCGCGGGTGCGCTCGCGCGCGCCCGCTGACAAAACAAAAACCTCCCCCGCTGGCAACACGAAAACCCCCCCAGACGGTTCTGCCCGAACCGCTCGGGGGCTCGGGGGCTACACCCGTGGGTGCGCTTGCGCGCACCCGCCGTCGAGGCAAAAATCCCCTAGACGATTCTGCTCGAATCGCCCGGGGGGTCGGGGGCTCCTGTCGGGTTCATAAACCTGGGGTCCCTCGCGGACCGGCTTCCCAACAAAGGTTCATCCTAAGCAGACAAACACGCAACTCGTGGGCCGGCCCAAGTTTCTGAACAATAGGCCAGAAGGGCAATCCAATCACCGACCGGAAGGTCTGGCCAAAGAGGAACAGCACCCGCCTTCCGACTCCGACTCGCTTCGGTCTCCATCACGCCTCCGGACGGTCTCTCCGACCGGAAGGCCTGGCAAAGCACTACCTCTGACTCCGACCCCACGTCTCCGACCGGGGTATGCAAAGACCCTGCTCACTGCTCTTCTCCAACTAGCGCAACCAGAGCCGACTAGGACCAACCAACTGGGGACGTCCGCTCGGAAAAGACCAGGGAACGGACGGAGAAAGTAAGGCAAGGCGCACAAGTCAAACCACGATACCAGGGACCGCACCATGTACACCTGCAGGAACAGTACTCTACAACTGCCCTGACACAAACAGTATTGTAGGCGCTGACATTTTCCCTATAGTATTGTGGGCGTCATTAACTCCCATATGGTAAGGCCCCCAATTGCCTCTAGGCATCGACAGTGTTGTGGGCGTCGGCATTTACCGTACCGAGTGAATATGGTGAAACTCCTCACATGCATCTGGGCATTAACAGTATAGCAGGTACCGACATCTGCCATACCCACACAAAACGACGTAGCCTGCCACATACATCCGACAACCAACAGTATTGTGGGCGCCTACCATCATCCCGCACCCGCTGGCATGGGCAACAAGGCTTAAAAGCATATGTACTCTCTCCCTCTCACTTGTAAGGCCATCCCCTTCATCTATAAAAGGGGATGCGCTCTCTCCCAGGAGACTAAGTTAATCCAGGTCGATTCAAGTGATTCTAGATTCATTAGATCGATCAATTTCACTAGCTCACAACCACAGAACCGCCAGGTTTGGACTACAAGCACACGCTTGAACACTTAGCTCATAGCGGAGCTCCTGTCGCTCTCGGCCGTTCCGACTGGACCCGACCAGACCTCTTGTACACCCTATCTTTCTTCTTCTCGTTTGTAACCTCACTGCAAACTTCGAGCACCTAGGCTCAGGAATAAAGTCACCGACCGACTCAAACTGGACGTATGGCACGTTGCCTGAACCAGTATAAACCCTGTGTCATTGAGTGCTAGGCCACATCCGATCACGACGTACGGCAAAATTATAAATATTTACTTATTGGTCACTTTCTGCACCGACATTAAATTTTTAGATTTTAAAATTTAAAATTTTTAAACAACCTCAGATGTTGCCATGGTATATACCAGAGTTGTAGTTATCAGTAAAATACAACCTTGTAGTTGAAATGTTTTTTTTATTTGAAAGTTGTTTAGAGTCCCAAATATATGTTTTAAGTTCTTAGATTTTGACATTCAAATTTTATAATTTCCAAACCATCTAAAATATTTACATGGTTAATGCCAAATTTATAACCGCCAACTAAATCTATCGTTTGTAAGTTTTTTATTTGAAGTTGTTCAGAGTCTCAAATATTTGTTTTAAATTCACATATATGAGATTCAAAAATTTGAAATTTTCAAACAATCTCAGATTGAAGACACATTCTATATTAAAAGTTGTTGTGCTTGATAAGATTTAAAACTTTATAGTTAAAACTTTTTTCATTTAAAATCATTTGGTGCTGAAATATACAAGATTACAAATTGTTGATATAAAATGATAACTGTCTATATATAATCACAAAAGATCCTGTAGTCCAGTGGTACACAAGTGCTACATGTGCTGAAAGTTTTGTTCAAACCCCCAAAGGGCCGCGCTGCCCACCTCTGAAAATTTCCTTTATGTGGATCAACATATTTCATTAGAGATGAATGGTTAGGTTGGTCCACAAGCTAGGTTGAGCAAGAAATGAAGGCCATGGTCCACAACCTTATGAGCCTTGGATTCAGCAAAAGTATTTAGCAAAGCCTTTAGAAAAAATAACCGCCGAACACAACCATGAATGAATATTAAGGTGTCATCAGCATACTGAAGTATTGGAAAGTCTTGGCAATGGTTGAGTGCAAGTGGTAGGGTGAGTAGGCCCTGATTCTTTGCAGTATTTAACAAACACTATAACATGTCATTCAAGTTAAAAATGGCTAAACCTGCCTGTTTTAGAAAGATGTGGCTAGCCCATCCCCTTGAACAGAGCCCCAGAGATCCATTCCTTTGCCAAAAACAAGCTTATTTCAGTAAGCAGAGCCTTCAGTCAAGACACAATTAAATATTTGTTCAATCTGCCTCTATCTCAAATTGTCTTCACACAATTACAAAGTTTGCAACAGCTAATGGAAGCCACAATGCTAGAAGACAATGATGATGTCTAGTCCTATAATGGGGGTTCCAGCAAGTTTCTCCCCTCAAGAGCCTATAAAAAGCTGATTGGCCATCATCCAATCAATCCAGCTTCCAATTGGATCTGGAAATGCTTTTGTCAACCTAAACATAAAGTCTCCTGCTGGTTACCGATCAAAGATAGGCTAAGTACAAGAAATATCCTCAGAAGGAAGCATCTGAATCTGGATTCTTATAACTGTGAAATCTGTGGTCTTGGAATTGAAGAAACAACTGAACATCTCTTTCTGCAGTGCCCTTTTGCTCAACAATGTTGGTGCCTGATTAACTTAACAACATCCCTGGAGCATGGGACTCTTGAAAACTTTGTTGCATTCAAAGATCAGATCAACTCGCAGTTTTTCATGGTGGCAATCATTCTCATGTGCTGGACAATTTGGCTAGCTAGAAATGAACTGAGCTTCAATGGGAACCAAGTAAGCATTCAAGATTGCAGGAGAATGTTTCTCAAAGAAACAAGACTTGTCAAGCTTATGAATTTTGTTTGATCAACGGATACCATACTTAGAAATGATCTAAGCCCTGTCATTTGTCTTATTTTCTTTGTTTCTTTTGTCTTCTCTTGACCCCCCTGATGTAAATAACTCTTTCTTGTTGCAATAAAATTCTCTGTAGGGGCTGCGGCCCCTCCAGTTCCCTCAAAAAAAAAAGACTATAACAGGTCTGCTGCCAAAACAAAGAGGAGCATGTTACGAGTATATATCCCCGGCTTTAGATAACAAGGGTTCCTTGACATCCCTCAGAAAAGGTACACCTAGCATAAACAGGAGCATCTTGACATGAGTGGCAAACTCACCACCGGTGGTTAGATGCTTGGCATGGAACGCCGCTCCACAGTTGTATGCAATGTAACAAAGCATCTCTAACCATATGGCGGCAATCAGCTTCCAACGATCCCCTGCTTCTGCAATCTGAAGCAAGTCCGAGGCAACCCGGCGAGCTCGATCCAGCACGGGGTAGTAGTCTTCATGGAAGAAAGAGCTAGGTTTGTCGCGGATCTCCTCAACCACCGTCCTCCGATCACACGCTGCTCCAGTAGTCGTCTGCTCAAGTAGCCAGTTCGACATCTCGCGCTTGCCCTTAATGACCGCGTAGTGCCCTTCACTGCCGGCCATGGCGCCGCAATCTGCAACGAGGTACATGATGTAATCTGACAGCTCTCTGGCAGCGCCTCTCAACGCAGAGATGCTGCCGTCTACATCCTTATCGTGACAAAAATTGCTGCCGCCGTCTACATTCTCATGGTCATGGTGTGAAGAGATGCCATCTAAATGCACTTCCTGAATGGAATTAACGTCTCCATTCTCATGATCATGATGTGGAGAGCCGCCGTCTAAACGCTCTTCCAGAGTGGAACTGCAGTCTCCATTCTCATGACCATGATGTGGGGAGCTGCCATCTAAACGCTCTTCCTGCGTGGAACTGCCGCCTACATTGCCATTCTCATGCAGAGAAGAAACACCTTCTAAATGCTCCTCCGGAACCTGAATGGAGTTGATGCTGTGTACATCATCAACAGCGTCAGCTGTGACTTCGAGCAAGCATATATCCGTGACAATGTGCCAAAGAAGCGCACTTGACACGAACTCCAAACCTTTGATGTTGCTGACCTGAAGCACCTGCCGAGCTGCACTCTGGTGACGATCTTGCATTGCCTCAACGGCCCAGTGCGCCCACTGGCCACTGAACTTGCCGACTCCAATGTCCCATTCCTGCACGCGTGGAGTGGCCGCTATCTCGAGCAATTTATCTAGGACCAGCTTCTTCATCACTGGCGAGATGCCGACATGCTTCAAGGCACGCTGATCGATGCCGACCCAACGCATCGTCCGTCGTAACAGGCCCGATTCTTGTTTCTCCTTGATGCAGTCCCCGATTATGCTGTACTGCGCCATACTTGCCGACCACTCGCCTCTGCTTTCCGGATGCAGATTCCTTGCTATTCTGACCATTGCTGCGACTGTGCCAGGGAATCTTTGGTACATTGGGCATTTCAGTGGAAGAGAAAAGGTGGTGTTGTACGCCCAACATGAGGAGATAAACGACATGAAGATAGAGCATGTCTCCAGTATGATGGCGCCGACGAGTAGTACGTAGCATATGATGACATCAGCTCCATCATCATGCCCCTTCGCCTTCGGATTCGGACCGCCGGCCATGGCCCTCACGAACAATCCAAGCGCACCTGATATTAGGGCCAGAGCGAGGATCCGGCGAAAGGCAATGCAAACTGGGACCATGTGGAAATGGCGGGTGCCAAACTTGGTGTACAAGTAGTCATAGATCAATGAGAGGTTGATCTCGGCCAACTTGTATGCCATATGGACAATGTTCTCTGAAGATTTGAACACATCCACAGCCTGCTTGATCCCATTGATATCCGCGGGAAACAGGCAGATGGAAGGGGTCATGTCCATCAAAAAATAGAGGCTTAGTTTGAAGCCCTCGGCTGCCACATGCAGGATCAACTCGAAATTTCTCTCCTGCTTCTCTGAAACAACAATGCAGAGCTGACTGTAATACGCCTGCGTGTTCCAGAAGGCGTCGCTGGACGCACGAGCGACAAGATTTGAGCTAGAGGAGTTACTTGTTCCAGGCGCCACTGAGCCAGCTCTCCGGAGTGCCCAGATTCTCTCGGCATATTTCGCAGTCCCAGAGACAAACACTAGCACCATAGGAGCCACGAGCCGACGGTCATCTCCTTGCAGTTGCCTGCCGACGGCGTAGATGGCCATTGGAACCTGGGTAGCGAGGCTCAGAAGGTGGCGCTTCCACAGCGCGTTGTCCTCCATGGAGAAGGCCGTCATGGTCTCCTGCCCACCTAGATGGAGAAGCAGGAAGGGCACCCAGAAGAGGGCGAACTGGTTGCCGCCTCCACGGAGGGTGAGGCGGCCGAGGATGTAAACCGCGAGGGAGTCAGCCGATAGGTAGGCGAGCCACAACACGACGCTGAGCGCGCGGGAGCTGCAGCGTTTGCGAAAGCCAGAGAAGAAGAATAGGAGGACTTGCAGGGAGAAACTAGCCATCACCATGCACTGGAGCTCCCACTCGTTGATGAATTGTTGGGCACGCGATACTACTGAGCTGTTGTAAGTAAATGGTAAGTTGAAGAGTTGTATAAAAATGAAAAAGAGACAAAAATATGTTCATAGCATAGATCTTATTAGTCTCACTTGCTGCCATGTTTTGATCAGCGGAGCTTTGTCCAAACGGCATATATTATTAATGTAAACAGTAATGAAACTATTAAAAAATGTTTTAGGAGATAGCCGCTGATTAATAGAGGCGGGTATTTTTGGATGCCGTAAGTATAAATGGCCAGATGGGACGTAGGCAAACACCTTTCTCTCATAGTATTCATCTACAGTGGTGGGGATCCTAAGGTGACTATCTCTCTTAATTGACCAGTTAAAGATGCTTCATCCACTATTGAAACGTTAAGGGCCTGTTTGGCAACAATTTTTTACTGATAAGTGATTCTGCTAAGTGATTCTCTAAAATGAACTAGCGAATCGGAAGGTGGAAAAAAAGTAGCTTCTCCTGATTTAAACCATACAGAGTCCCTGTATGTAAAGAGTTATCCTAGAGAATCATAGAGAAATATTTTGATTAAGAGAATGCTTCTCTCCGGGAATCAAACTACACAGAGGATCTGGAGCACGAGGAACTCTACCAAACAGGCTCCAATAGAGGTTGGAGTTCTAAGGTGACCAGGTCTATAAATGGTGATTTTAGGATGCAGGGCTTTCTAGGCGTGCTCCTCTAAAATTCATTAACAAAGGTTGTAAGAAACAGGGACCGTAGCAAGGGTTTAGTGATTTTGGTGGTTTAGTGACAACATATAATTAGTGGGGCTAACAATGTTGACTAGTATATAGTGTGTTTAGTTTTTAGGATGCAAGAGAGATGGACTTGAGATAGGCTATGGTGAAAAATCAAAGAATCAACCACCTCAAATATGGAACAAGTGTACATGTTGAGGACCTTAGAAGACATGCAAAGCACCCAAGACATCTAGAAATCAAAGCCATCGAAGCCAGGACTTTGAGATGAATGAATTGGTCCTGTCTTGTGATTTCTGTATCTGGTCAAATTGATGTGGTATCAGTTCAAAGTTGTAGAGATCATCATTATCTTTCTAACGAGTAAAAGATCATCAAAATCAGAGTTGAAAGCAAAAAAAATTATGCCCAAAAAATACAAAATTATGTTGTGGGTAGAATAGAGCAGTGGATTTCTCGGTAGCTACTGCTCATTTCTCTGGTGCTACTTTTAGTAAACTTCTGTGCTACTGTTCTATAATTCTAGTGAGCACAAGAAAGCTCTGGTGCGAGAACTCTGGTGACCACCAGAAAATGGGTGACATCCTTTCTTACACTGGCTAGTTGTTGGCATAGGAAAGGTCCAATGGACGCAAGAGAAATTCAATGCTCACATAACAGCTAATAATGGCTAGTTTTAGTATAGGAAAGCTTTGGTGCATAACTTCGATCCACATAGGAGAAATCGGGCGCTAACATCACAACTTTTTTTTTTTTTGGCTTGGACCTATTTGTACCCCCTTCGTCAGCCATTTAAAGTGTATTAGAACTTCAAGAAGCTAGCAGAAGTGTTTAGTATGTGCTCTAGCCACTTAAGTTCTTAGTGAAGATTAGGGCAAATAGTAAAAGCATTAGTTCTGAATTAGCATTTTTTTGGTGTTAGACAAGAGTTTATTAAGGTGTGCACACCTCTTTGTTACCTCTGGATGCATGCACCCAGGTTGTACATTTTATGAGGGATTCTAATCTTGTGATATCACACACCAATCGAACTTGTGCCGAAGGTGATTGAGGATGAGAGGCTTTTGGCATTTTGGCCCTCCACAGTAAAGACGCTTGTGAGCAGTCCAAGAGAGGTCACATGAAAACTCACTTGCGTGTGGGAAGGAACATGGACTACCATGGAGTTACCCGGCCATGGAGCTTATTAGCCCTTGTGAGGGTCTATATGGAGAACTAGTGGAAAGCGCGAGCTTTCTGATACCTCAGGAAAAAATTATCATGCGAGAGTTTGCATTCTCTAACTTAATTTATGTTTCCATTTTTAATGTTTGTATTCGCTTTATCTTTCTAGTGAAGCTTGGTAGGTTACTTGATAGGATTGAAATCTAGGGTGCAAAACTCTACTTTGTTAGAAGTAGTAATACATGGAAAAACCTAGTGCACATCTAGATAGAAATTGTGTAGGTTTTTACAAGTGGTTTTAGGACTTAGTTTTTAAGATATAATTCACCACCCTATTAGGCATCATGGTCCCTTTAGAGGTAGCACTCTCAAGTGGTTTGCCTCTACAAATAGTTATTTGAAAAATTATTATTTTTTCATATGAAGATGGATAAGATGAACTTTATAACAAAATTATATAGTTGATGAGATATACAACTTTATGGTTGACAAGTTTTTGAAATTGGAACAGTCTAGAGTATCAAAAAATTGTTTCAAGTTCTTAGATTTTGAAATTTAAAGTTTTACAAACTATTTCGGATGTAGATATGGTCTATACAAAAATTGTATGTCACAACACGATCTACATCTTTATAGTAGAAAAGTTTATGATTTAATTCATTTATAGTCCTAAATATGGCCTTTTAATTTCTTGTATTTTAAAAATAAAATATTAGAATTTTCAAATAACCCTTGATTTGAGGTTTGTTTAGAGTATCAAATATTAATTTTAAGTTATCACATTTTGAGATTGAAAATTTCTACATATAAAATTTTGAAACGCGTGCCTATGGTGTCTAGCCAGGGGTGGTTGTCATGAGATTTAGAAAAATATTTTGCTATTTGTTTCAGCCGTTTTTTAGTTTTCTTAAAATCATTAACAGACGTGGCCATTATAACTCAACGACCTCTGTAAAGTGATCCATATATCAACATAGATCATTTTGACAGAGGCGTGGTTGGCTTACCTTCCTTTTTGAAAACTAAAAACACTCACCTCCACAAATAATTTGTGCGTAGTAGTGTGATATGCTCTGCTCAAGGATATAGTAAAAAATACAATTGAATGACAATAGTCCTAGTGCATCAAGACAAATTTACCACATTTTTTTTAGCTTAGGCACAAAATTAGGATGGTGTCAAGCACATTGTAACACTTTGTACTGTCCATAACATGTTCCCCTTCTACTACCTCAGTCTAAAAAAGAAAACCATTCTAGTTTATGCTAACTCATGATATACTAAGCTTTATCAAATCTGTAAGGAAAAGTATCAATATTTATAGCACAAAATAGATATACTATAAAAATATATCCCATGATATATAAATCTGATTATACTTCTTTGGTATCATAAATACTTATACAAAGTTTAAGAACTTCATCAACCTAGAGGTCACTTGACTTAGGATGAATATAGAAAGACTTTCCTTTTATGTTGGAGGAGTATTGAAAAATATGATGAAGAACCACTTAAAAAAGAGATAAATATATTGCTAACAGATTCATTGATTACAAACAATTGGCCTATTGATGGTACATCCGTGGCGGTGTTAAGAATGAGGCACAATTATAAAGTTGAACTACCACTTAGGGAAAGTAGACTATTAGTGCAAGTGAACGGCCTCATTGCAAGTCATACAAGGCTACATATAAATTTGTTGATGTAGAGAGAGATGCGAAAAGGAGGTAGTGGTTGCATGAAGTATGAGTACACATGGTCGATATGTGCACATGGTTGGTATGTGCGCATGTGGTGGCGGCTTGCCTTCTTTTGGACAGATGAATTCCTCATGGCTTTGCTTAAATCTGTGCTCAAGTTTCTCCTTCTCCAAATCTGAATTTCACTTTTTAAGTGATTTCTGGAGCAATTTTGTCTTTGTGATTTTTGATCTATTGCTTTGGCTGAGTTGTAGGCTTGATTTTGGTGTGTTTTGGGACCCTCAGAACTTGATCAAATTGTGGTTTGAAGCCAAGCACCTATCTCTAAAGTTCCAATTCCCAAAACTTCCCTTTTGGAACCTACTTTGGTGAATTTCTTGAAGATCTTTGAGCTAAAGTTTTTAGGACATGCTTAGGCCTTGGCCACAACATATTTCCAATGAGCACTTTCTAATCCTTCATTTGAAGAAAATTGTTAAAATCCTAATTTAAGAGTGGAAATTCAAGATTTCCAAACATGCTTTGAGCTTTTGCGAACATATGGTGGATATGTGCCCATGTGTGCGGATGATGAGTAGTTGTCAAGGGATTATCTAGCTTTGGTTTAGTGTTGAGACTAACCATAGCGTGACTAGAGTGTGTGCAACATGTCTCTTGTCTTTGTAATGTGCATGTGTTGAGCGTTGAGGCAGTCGACGGCAATAGGGAAGGTTATGCGAGTTTGTGCCAATGGACTAGGATAGGTGAACGACATACATGTAGGAGGTTTGGACCAAGGGACTAATGGATGGAGGATGGATCATGGACGGCTGGCACTTGGCGATGTCAACAAGCTAGTGTACTTGTGAGGAAATGTAGACAGTGTTGACCAAAGTCAAGATGATGGTTGACCAAGTCAAGGTAGGTGAGCGAGGACTTCATGATCGGGTGGTCAAGGACGAGTGTTGACACACATTGAGATCATGGAGGAGGCGTAGCGGATATGCAATTCTAGCTGGATTTAGCAGTTTTGGGCTCAACACTGCGGGAGACGGGTTTGCCAGGTTTGGGCCTCAGAACAGAGGGGATGATCTTGGGGCGGCACCGTGACATCATCGGAGAGCTTGCGTTGAGGCGAAGCATCTTCCTCAAGGAATCATGGTCATCCAGTGTTTGGAATTCAACTTGGACCATTTTGCCCCTGTGCGTGGTTCAGGAAAAAAATATATAGGGGTAGTCTTGGAATGTGTAATAACCCTATAAATAAGGATAGAGGTTGCCCAACTCTCCCATCTAGGTCATTAGCATAGGCTAGCCAAGGTATTCACTATTTAGGAGATCAGAAGTTGAGAGGGGTAACTGCCTTTTGCTTCTAGTTTTTGATCTATAAGACAAAGGAGA